ATATCTATGCAAAAACCCCAGGATCAGGCGATCAGCTCGTCTTGAAGTACGTACACGATCCAGTCGCGTCGGCTAAAGACAACAAAACTTTGAAAATCGCACAGATATAAATTCTACAAAAATATTAAAACAACTCCTAAGTCTTCTAAATAATATTTTAGCACTTTAACAAAAATTCATTGAAAATATCATCTTTGATGGCGTAAATTCTTTCCACGGTATTAGACGCCATTTTAGCGAACGTCGAGTTGACAGTAGTCACTTCAACGGTCAATATCTCGAAAACTGCCGGGGGATCACCGGGATCATTCCAGCAGATTTAAAGCTTATATATTTTTCTTGACGACTACCAAAAATGAAGAAAATCGAACCATGGGAATTCTAGATATTTCATTTTAAACATCGTAAACATATTTAGACTTGAGTCAGCACGTCGCGGGGAGTCGACTAACTTCAAACATCAAAATAACATTGAAAATAAAGTTTACCTCAGAGATTTTTGCAGATATCGCCAGATCTTTAGTAGTAGTACTACAACACTTGAGATTTTGCAAGAAAATTTTAATATTAATATTTTTTTCCGATTTATTTTCCGTCGAATGCAAATTTTTCTGTCCAATTTCTGCAGATAACACGATAGGAAATAGAGCGATCTCATTGGTCGAGAGCTCACGTGACAACTCGCTAATTAGCTGTCCAACCTCCTCTGCGGGGGACCGAGAACTCTGCATATAGTTCAAAACAGTCGCACCCGCGAACAGGCTGCGTAGGAAACCTAAATTTGTCGACCTTTGGAACTTTTATGACGTCATCGCGTAGACGTACGCTGATTGGTGGAACGGATCGAGATCGAGTATACGACGACGGTTGACGAAGTTTTGGCCCGGCTGTGGAAGGAAGAGAAAGAGAACCGCGAATCCGCGATAGCAATATGGCGGAACAGCAACCTCATCATTTGCCCGGGGTTGGCGAGGTTGAAGTCGAAGTTGAGACTATGTTAGAACCACAACAAGAAATCCAGATAGAAACACAACCCATGATAGCACTACAGCCGCTCGCAGAGCCCGAACGGGAAGAAGTTGTCGTACAAACGAGCGAGGAAGTCATAGACGAGTCGAGACAACACGAAGCTTTGGATATCTCACCGCCTCGAAACAAACGCAAGGGTAGACCAGGACGGTACAAAGGAGCAGGAAAACATAGCAGGCTACAAGGTACGCGGGGTCGTGGGGCCAAGAGGGACGAAGAAGATGGTGATCTCGATCAGAAAGGTACGCGAAAATGGGAGCAGAGGCAAGTTCAAGTGAAGACGCTTGAAGGCGAATTTTCTGTCGTAATGTGGGCGTCGGGTACGTGAAATTGTTTTAAACGCCTCGTACGATACCTCCTTCTTCGCATATGTTTCTGATTTGGAGCCATCTTACTTCAAGCAGCCCGATTTGGGCATTTTGCCGTGCTAACTTAGTGTTCATTTTGTTTCTTCGCAGAGGACAAAAACCACGATCTTGACCACGAAGAAGACCAGCCAGACTTCTCTGAGTACATGACAGGAAAGAAACTGCCCCCAGAAGGCTTCCCAGGCATCGATCTCAACGATCCAAAACAACTAGCCGAATTTGCAAGGTAAAATGTACATTTGAACACAATTTGTTGTTCTGGCGGCCATTTTGTGCGGCCATGTTGCTTCTCTTTCAAACATGGCCGCCAAAGATGGCGGATTTTCACGCTTCGAAGTTCGCGCGTTGCGGCTTTGTTTTTGCTTTTACAAACGAATTTTGTATTTTCTTAAGATCTTAGTTTAATGGTTTCCCAATTTTGCGGCGATATTTGTTCAAAATATGCGTTGTACAGACTTTTCAAAGCAAGCTGGCTAGAATCAATCAATGTCTAGATTCTAGAATACACTATTAATTAGTCTAAAATAAACATATCTTCCCGGATCCTCCGAAATGCACTAGATTTGATAAAAAAAAAACTTGTAGGGGGGCCAGGGGCAGATCTAGCCTCGTCTGCAGGGAGGGGTGCAGGTTTTCTATGGGGTTGTGCATGAGGAAGCCTTTTACTGCCCACTCTCCTCTACACTACTACCCCAACATTAGTACTAGTGAATAGTCATGGGCGATTACCGATTATTTGGTATCGATACCACCCAATACCAGGCCCAAACCGGAAGTAGTTGATACTGCAAGGTATCGAACAAGTGTTTTGATTACTTTTCAAATTAGACATTCATTATAATTTTATTAATTCTAATAAAATTTATGTACTTTTTTGTTTTCTGCTGCATTTATCAAACTTCCTTTACTTTATTTGACATTCTATCCATTTGCCTTATTAATATTCCTGACCTCGCCGGCAGAATAAATTATGAAAAAGGCGGGAAATATATTGTTACTGTTAAAACTACGTAACTTTATGAAAATATATCGTTACTGTTACAGTAGAAGGCTACTTCTGAACAGTTGGCTTTTTATTAAGTGACTTACATTTATTATTTTGAAAATTGGAGGAAGTAATCGTTTGGGTAATCGATACCTCGATACATTTACGAAAAAGTAATCGTTATCGAATTGATACTGCCCGTCACTAAACATTACCATTATTTGAGATGGCTGAATCTGCATGTTTGCCGTTCTGTTACGTTTTACGTTATCTTTTATTTATAAAGTATATATCACTTTTTATCACTTATGCAAGACTGGACAGTTGCTGTAGCACAGTACAGTAAATGTACTTCTTTTAAAAGTATTAATATACAGCTTGGCTGTATAATTTAAATTATTCACACATAAACCGATAAACGTTTGTTTGAAGGAACCTAAAACACCTACAGAAAAAAAACCATCATTGACACCAACATTCCTTCACAATATAGATTTTTTACTGTTTTTCATCTCAGTGTTTTCAATATAAAAATTTCTGCAATATTTTATAAATTGAATAAAAAAATTGTGTTCGTAGAGATCCATGGCATTTTCGTCTTGAAACAAGTCCACATAGCAGAATGAAATATATTTGACAAGGCGTAAAAAATATACCTGTGGTTCCGGTTCCCGACCGACCCTATTTTTTTCTGCCGACCCTATTATTTTTTCAGCACGATTAACCTTGCGACCCTATTTTCTCTGGGTGGTTGCGGGCTACTGCCAAAATGGTGTCTGTTGTCACACTAATGAGAACGAATCGTCTCTCAAAAATCGTCTTCACAGACAGACAAGTAGTCGAACAATTCAGACGACTTGTTCGTCTAAAATTTTGTCCGACACGTTTTCACATCTGATGATTGTCCGACTAAAAGACGATTTTGAGACGATTTGTTCGTCTGGACGACTTGTTCGTCTTCTGATGTGAAAACGGCTAATAACTGTGTTTCATGTTTGTGCTGTTTTGTATTGTATTTTGTTCTATTTTATTGTTTTGTATAGTTTTAGAATGGTAAGCACCTTGCATGGGACTTTATGTCTTGTTCGTGCTTGATTTTGTCCATTTGAGTATTCTACTTATTTCTACATAGAACTGTTGTGTTTAAAACGTTGTAGAACTCTCAATAAAATTGTTAAAAAAAAAAAATTTAATTATTGAAAAAACCAGGAAAAAAATATTTAAAAAAAAATTATTTCCGACCTACCGACCCTAATTTTTTCGCGATATGATTTGTTTTACGCCCAAAGATGGCAAAAGTAATACAACCTGTTATAAATTGTTTAGGATGAGACCTAAGAAGTCGAAAGATGATAACGAACCTCGAACTATAGCATGCCCACACAAGGTAATGTCACAAACAAAATTATAATAATAATTATGTGATAAGTTGGTGTAGACAACAATGCTAAAGACAAGAAATTTTCTTAGGGATGTACAAAAATGTTTCGTGATAATTCTGCGATGAGAAAACACCTTCATACTCACGGACCTCGCGTTCATGTCTGCGCTGAATGTGGCAAGGTAATTTAAGTATTTAAACAAACAACTATACTAAGGATAGATTTTGTTTAAACTCATCACTATCCCTGTCTGAAATTTGATTTTGTTTTTACCTAGGCATTCGTTGAGAGTTCCAA